GAGCACAAGGGTGTTGGGGTGTCACGGTTTCGGAGGTCTCAGGCCATGGACGCCAGCTCCATAGCGCTGGGCCCAAGGTGAGGCAGAACATCAGGGGGGAGAGCGTGGCGAGGTCTTGGGGACCACCCAGAATATGCGCAAGGGAGGAGGAGAACGTGACCACTCGGGGGTGCCTCCCCACATGCTCTGGAGCCCTCACCGGAACTTCCTAAGGAGGGTGGGTGCTGCTTTTTTCTGAAGATAAAAACCCCCATTTCCACCCAGGCGGGGTTGCATGCTTGGGGAATATTTATAGCCCCGGCTCCCCGTCGCCTCCTCTGCTTCTTCCAAATGAAGCACTTAAATCATTTTGCAATAATGTTGTCTTTTTAATAAGCCTAGTCAAACGCGCTCCCACGGAGGAGAACATGTGTCAGCAAGGTCTCTGTGTGTGCTTCCCCTGCTGAGCAGGCGGTCAGAGGCCCTGGGTGGCGGCAGGGGCGTCTTCCTGTCAGCAGGCCCTGAAGGGGGGTCTGAGCCCCAGCTGTTAGCAGGGGCTCCCTTCTAGGAATCGAGGAGCACACGGAAGGAGGTAGCTTCTCCCCGGGCTCTACCTGGCGCTTCTCAACGTGTGGCCACACACAAGCAGCTTCCCCTCACCTGAGAAAGTGCCAGAAATAGATTCTCAAGTCCCACCCCCATTTACAGAGTCAGAGGGGCTAAGGGTGGGGTCTAGAAACCTCTGCTACATCCTACACAGGATTCTTAGGTTCAGTCAAGGACACGATCAGCTGCTCTGAAGGACCACGACCCCTTTCCCTGCATTCGGATCCCCCAGGGCTTGTTCAAGCAGCAATGAAGGACCCTCCCATCCTCCGTCCTCCTCTGGGGTCTTCTAGAACAAACCATCCAGAGATGACACTGCAGAGGCTACAGGGTTCATGGCCCCTTGGGTGGATACCTGCTCTTAAAGGTGGAGGAGCAACCCACAGAAACCAGCAGTAACTTTCTTAGGGAGAGGCGAGGAGATGAGAACCCTTTCTTCCAATAAAGCCGTACCCGGCCCCAATATGCCACATTTCTGCAAATCTCACTGTCATTGATTCTAAGATGTGTCAGACGCACTGATGGTAAAGATGCAACCCGATTTCAGAAATGTAACATGATGGGAAAACGGTGCACTTGAGAATTGGTAAAATCAAGAGTGAGATGCTCTGGCAATTAATCCTGTTTTAGGGAGTCCTGGAGACCTCTGACCTCAATATCAGTCCTGAAGAAACTCAAGGCTTTAGAAAACACAACTTAATACTACGGTAGCCCAACAAGAGGGCCACAGACTGGAAGGAAATGTCTACAGCACACACCACATAACAACAGAACTTACATACAGAATATATAAAGAGTTGCTGCAAAACAATAAAAAAAAATAGAAGAGTGGGCAAAAGACTTGGAAGACCACTTTGCCAGAGGATAACCAAAGAGCTCAAAGCATGCAGAAAAGCTTGTATTAAAATGGCAGTGTGGTACAACTGTTCACCTATGAAAACCGCTAAATGAAACAACAGACAACACCAAGTGCTGACAAGAATGTGGAGCAACTGGAACTCTTACTCATTGCTTTAGCAAACTCTTAGGCAGCATCTATTAAAACTGAACCTACAAATGCCTTACCCCCAGCAATCCTATTTCTAGGTATCTTCCTAACAGAAGTGTACCATACATGCACCAAAACACATGTGCAACAATGGTTATAGCAGGTGTATTTATAAAAGTTCAATATTTAAAATGAATAACTAAATAAGCAACTGTAAAAAAAAAAACCTGGAAACAACCAAATGTCTACTTGGAGTAGAATGAAGAATGGATAAACAGTGGTGTGTTCACACAACTGGAAACTTATACAGCAATGAGAATGACTGGCCCACAACCACCCACAAATTTGTGGGTGAATGTCACAAACACAAGGTCAAATGAACAGAGCAGACACAAGCCAGTGCACACATTTTTGTGCAGATAAGAGTGAGAGTAAACTGGAGAAAGTTACTGTTATCTTAATCAGTAGGTGGTTTTGTATTTTTCGATCTAGGCAGAACATGTCTATGGAACATCTAGTTTGCCTCTTGGCTCTTGCTGCTAGGAAACTCAGTGTTAGACTGCCAGCCCACATTTAGTGGATCCTTCCAACCATTCTGTGTCTATTGTCTGCCGGGGGGGGGGGGGGGCTCCATCGGATGGACAAGAGGCATCCTGGCCTTTGGGGTCTCCCCATGTAGCTGGGACACTAACATGGGGAAGCAATGGTCTGAATGTGAACCAGGTAGTGATCCAGAGCAGGGCCATAATCCGCCATGAGAATCCCGCCAAGGCTTCCTGCAGGGCCAGCTCAAGCAGAGGTCGTGGTGTGAGCGGCAAACGGAGGCAGATGGCAGGTTCTAAGGTCTCTTTCCCTGGCTTTGTATATTCTTCAACTCCTATTACCCTTGGCTGTTTTTTGGCTTTGAAAGTCCACCTGATTTTTTAAAGCCCCACACATCTTTTTGCAACCATCTGTGGCACCAAGGTGCAGAGAACTGGGCAGAGCCGTCTGCGGTCACCAACACACAACTGCTCAGTGCAGGTCTCAGACCCCGGGCTTCCTCCACTCCTTCTCCAAGTCCCCACATTTGTCCCTCTGGATGCTAAGAAGGCGCCTCTCCTCCCTCTGGATCTCCCCAGCAGCCAAGGCATGGCAAACCCGTGTCAGACCCAACCCAGCAGCTCGTGACTGATTACCACATGGAATGTCAGCTGGGTGGAAAGGGATTTCTACAGGGAAGTCACCGAGATTCACAGCCAAGCCTCCTGCTCCGATGTCTCAGGTCCCCACTCTACACGTTGCCACTACCAGCCGTTCAGGCGCTGCTCTCTAGAGACACCGTGGAGATCACAAGGAACGTGCCACCTCCTCTCCTCATGACAGTGCTGTCCCCTGGGAGAGGGACACAGGCCCAGGAGGCAGCATCTCAGCCCAGGTTCTCCTGACCCTCGGCATGGACGTGGCCACTCCTTCCAGGAGCAACTGTGTGGCTGGACGTGGTTGATGTGGCTGGGGGGGGGACGGGGAACTCCAGAATCCCCCGTGGGGAGTGTGGACACGATCCCCCAGGGAGGACGAGGGGCCAGACAGAGAGAGTCCCTCCCAAACTTCACGCCCCATCTCCAGATCCACCGCATGCTGTCCACGAGGGAGTTCTGTTGGCTTTACCACAAACCAGTTCCAGGGGCCACTGTCCCTCATCCACACGGAGCCATCGTATCACTAATAATAACAGGGACTCACAGGGGGTCGGAGACTCTAGTTTGCACTAAGGTACAAATCCTATCCCAGGATGCCCCAGGACCTTGACTCGCCATTTCCATCTGTCTGCACACCTGAGCATAAATGGCACATGGAATATCCCCTTCCAGGGCGCCTTCCTGTTATACCAGCCTGTCATTTGCCCTCCCGTTACGGTCACCTCCCTTGCTTCATCTCCATAGCAATTCACGATCTGATGGTAACCGACTTGTGTTCTCTCTCCGTCTGTTAACCTGGAGCTCGTGAGGACGGAGACTTAACCTTGTCCCTAGCTGCATCCCAGGTGTCCCATCAAGCTGGGCATAGTGGCACAAGCCTGTCATACCAGCAGCTCTGGAGGCCGAGGCAGGAGGATCCTGAGTTCACAGCCAACCTCAGCCACTTAGCAAGGCCCTAAGCAACTCAGCGAGACCCTGTCTCTAAATAAAATACTACAAGAGCTGGGGATGTGGTTCAGGGGTTGAGCACCCCGGGCTTAAACCCCAGTATTGGGAAAAGAAAGAAAGAAAGAAAGAAAGAAAAAGATCCACCTAGTAACTATTTAGCTTTTGCAGGTCACATGGCTTCCAGGTGCAGCCACTCAGCCCGATCCTAGTTGTAAAAAGGTGGCCTTATCCTACACATTAATGAAGGGGCTCCAATAAAACCATCTGCAAAGAGCAGGAGATGAACCGGCTTGGAGCGGGGGCCGTATCTTGCAATCTCTCCACTCACTCTTCCCTTGGGGGGCTCAGTTTCTAAGGTAAGTAACTGTGTCCCCCCAGCCCCCTGTGAACAGGCTCCCACCTGGCACTCACACTCCTTTGAGCTACACATGCTCCTGCTGCGAACTCCCTGGTGTTTCGCAGACACGGGGTGACATTCTCCAGCATGTATCCTTAGAGTGGGATTGCGGGGTGTTGGCCACGGACAGCCTCGGCTCCCGCAGACGATGCCAGGTCGGTAAAGGGCAGCGAGACCGGGTGCCACTCCCCTGGGAAGTGCAGAGTCCCCGCTGCTGTGCACTTTGGGGGACATTCGGCTACATGGGACGTCTCGGTCTTGCCAGTCTGAAGTGTGACCTGGCACCTAGTGCGTGTTCATTTGCATTTCCTGCTTGCTAGTTAGGTTGAGCATCTTGAGTTTATTGGCCACTTTATTGGCCTCGTGACGTCTGGAACACACGAACTTTGAAATGAGAGCCTCCCCTCAACCATCAGGAGATGCTTATTTTTGACCCATTTTTTTTTCTATTGGAAACTTTGTGTTCCAAATGATTTGAGGAAGTTCTTTCATATTGTGGGTTCTCTTTGACAGGTTTATGAGCTGCCAATTTGGACTCCAAATACATATTGTGTCTTCCCTGTAGGCTTTGATCAATGACAGTTTGTAACTTTAATGTAGTCAGAATGCCATTTCACCCTGCGATTTGTGCTTTTGTGTCATTTTAAGAAATTCTTCCTTTGGAGCAGAGGATGTGGGCGTGAATCTCAGTGTCACATGAGTTCTACCTGATTTCCTGGGGCCTCAGTTTCCTCCTCTGCAAAATGGGCATAACAATGGCCGGTGCCTCCCGTGTCATTCCCAGGGTGTGTGCAGAAAGTCTGAGAGCATGAGGCAGACAGCCACTCGCCCCCCCCCCGCCCCCCGCTGACCTCGCACCCATGGAGCCCCGTACAGGGACCTGTGAGGAGGGAGGAGGTACCTGGCTCTCCAGCCGGTCTGTGTTCTGCCGGAGCTCAGTCCTGGACTTTATTGATTTTTCCAGCTTCTGTCTCAGCATTGTGAGCTCCTCCTGCAAAAACACAGACCTTGCCAGGAACCAGTCCAGGCCAGAGACCCACACCTGAATAGTGTTCAGAGGAGTCCAAGGGCCCAAGGTCTCAGTTAATCCAGGGGAATGGGACCCAGCGATCTCCTGCACAGAACGGTGCTCTAGAAAACAACAAGGTTTCCCATGCTTCAAAACTGCTCAGAGTAGGTTTTGAATGTCTGCACCACGGACCGTGTTTTCCCCACTTCCAAACGTCCACATCTGTGCTCCTGTGAGTCTGGCCCAGAGCATCCCAGTCTGGGGACCATGTGCCAATCCCCGGGAGGGGACCATGGCTCAGCCTGAGATGGGACACGCGGGCTGAGGACAGTGCTCAGCCATTCGCCCTCCGGGTGCCTCCGCCCCAGCCTAGGATGCCACCATTGGGAGCAGCCCCGGGCTCCCTGCAGGTGAGGGGACGTGAACTACCCCCACACAGGGAACTGAGCAGCCGTCAAGAGGGAAGAGGACAAAGAAGGTCTCAGAATATATTTTTAAGTGCCCAATGCCAGGTGCCGGGGAGCACGTAGGCTGAACGTCCTTCTCTGAAACCCGTGGGGCCAGAGAGCCTGGGGTCTCAGAGGTTCTCAGATCTGGGCATCCTCGCAGGGATTTTACCAGGTGAGATTTTTGAGTGGGGATGCTCAATGGGTCCTATGTTTGCCTTTTACACACACAAAAAGGAACCACGACTACACGGATTTGCTAATTTTTGCCCAGAGAAACGACAGGGGGCATAAACCAGAAGCCATTCGGAGCGGTGGCTGGTGACACAGAGGAAAGGCAGAGAGGAGGTGTTTTCTGTAAAGTAGGAAAATAAAGAACCCAACGGCGTGGCCACCGGGTGTCTCTGGGAGGACAGTGGGCGTCCCTGGGTCCCAGCGGGTGTGAGGCGTTAGTCAGCATCCCCCGCCAGAGGAGCAGGGTGCAGCTGGAGGATGGCCTGGTCCATGGAGGCACCAGAAGGGGACATCAGGGGCGGCTGGGCAGAGTGTCCCCAGGCAAGAGTGCTCAGGGTTGAGTCCCCAGGTTTAGGGGGCAGGAGGAAGCAGCTGCCCTTCGGCTGCCACGTGGACTCACCTCTTTGGCCCGAAGCTGCTCAGTCCCGATGGTGGCACTCAGTAGTGGCCGGAGGGCACCAAACAGCTGCCACCATGGCCAGTCCTTGACAGCCAGGAACGCGGCCACGTTCTTCTGGATGCAGTGGGCAGCCAGGCGGCGAATCTGCACGGGGTGGAGAGGACAGGGCGTGAGGAGGTCCCTCCCTGCACAGCTGAGAGGAGAGGAGGAGGAGAGTGGCCCTGGCAACGGAGGCCGTGGGCCCAATCCGAATCTCGTTTCCAAATCATCCCAAGGCACCGGATAGCGGAAGTGCTGTGGGCCAGCAGGATTGTCCACAATATCTCAGTTGCTGATGTTTTCACCTTTTCCTGCCCTTGCCGTGTGCGTATAGTTGAATCCACAAGTTCATAGAAACTGGAGGTGCGTGTCATGGGACTCTGCATTCTGGTAGTAGCATTATAACAACGACGCCAAGGTCACAGCTGCCACAATTTATTGAGCAGTTACTACGTGACGCCCTCCTTACTAAGTGACTTAATAAGTGTGTCCCCTTTCCCAGTTACTAAGAGTCAGAGGTGGGATTTGAACACAGGCCTTGTTTGTCCTCAAAATACAGCCGGGCTGTCTTCTCTCCATTGTGCAGGTGGTAAGGGGAAATCCAGGCTCCAGGGATCTCTGGAGATGGTGACCCAGGATGGCTCAGGACTGTGGCATCCTCAACCCTGGGTCCCAACGACCTCTGGCTGGTACCTGCCTATCCTGTCTGCTCACCCTGGACAGTGATTTGCTCCAGACAGGGGACAGGTTGAAATCGCGAATAGGCTAGGAGGGCCTGGACGAGCTCATGGACACCTAGCTCAAGGCTACCACGTAAAACATGTCCCAGGGACAATCACAGCGTCCTGCAGAACATCACTGGCAAATTGTCATCGCACTGCTTAGGTGGCCCTTGGACCAGCATCATCAGCGTCGTCCAGGGAGGCGGGTGCCCTTCCTGCCCATCCCAGACCTGGGGGGTCAGCACTGCAAGGAACACGGCAAGGTACCTTCAGCTTCTTGAACTCCTGGCGCGACAGGAAGCCCTTGCAGGCCGCCTGGAAGAGGACGATGCTCTGGGACGCCAGCTTCTCTCGCTGCCTCTCCAGCCTGGAGACCACCCCTGCCTTGAGGAAGACCTGGCAGAGAGAAAGGCTGAGTGACTCCCGGACTCCGTCACGGTGACTGGGGTGACAGGTGCTTGGAACTCAGACCCCAGCTCTCCTACTTCCTGCCCCGATATTGGCTGGTAGCATCCTTTATTAAGGGCCTGAAGTATCCGACCATTTTGTCTCCCCATGGCTCCACTTTCCCCTCTGCTAGCCCCTGGATCCCCAGCAGCCTGGGCAGGCTTGCAAGCTTGTTAGAAGTGCAGAATCTCTGCTGGGTGCGGTGGCACGCGCCTGTCATCCCAGTGACTCAGGAGGCTGAGGCAGGAGGATCCCAAGGTCAAAGCCACTCTTAGCCAAAGCAAGGTGCTAAGCAACTCAGTGAGACCCTGTCTCTAAATAAAATACAAAATAGGGCTGGGGATGTGGCTCAGTGGTCGACTTCCCCCGAGTTGAATCCCAGGTATTTCCCCCATCCCCCCCAAAATAGAAGTGCCGAATCTCTGACCCTGCTAATCTGAATCTGCACCCTAACCCCGGGGGTCACGTGCATCTTAGTTTGGGAACCACTGTGGGACAGATGTGCTTAATCTTCTCTGTGCACCAGCTCACCCAGGGCCTCACCAGGAAAGGGTCAATCAGTGGATCTGGAGTCATCCTGGGGATATGCCTTTCTATAGGTGCCACTGGCTGGAGACCTGAGAGAAGCCATGCCCTAGAAGGACTTCAACCCAGCCTTGCGGAGGGGCAGAGATGTGGGGAAGTGAGGGCCGTCCTCCTAGCCCAGGAGAGGTGGTGGCTCAGGCCTCCAGTGGAAACAGCTCGGCGCTTGCCCACGGGCCCTCATCAATAACGGACGGTGGCCTCCACAGCACCTGGAACAATGGCTTCTCGGCTCCCCCCAGAGCTGCCCTCTAGTGGGCTGCAGGAGCAGCCCAGAAACCCAGGCTCCCTGTTGGCCAGAGATGCAGGCCGAGAGGGCTGGGGGTCGGGCTGAAGGATTCTTCTGAGAAAACCTGAAACTCTGGGGACAGACCTACTCAAGACAGCACGGCAGGGGAGTCGGGGCGCCCGGTTCCTCAGCTCCCCACAGGCAAAAGAAAGATGCTGTCGACATGGGGTGTGGGTCAGCGGCAGGGGGAGGAGTCCCTCTTCAGATGAACTGTGCTGTTTATCTCTAAGAACAGTCGAGTAGGTTTCTTGGTCAGATGTGGCTTGAAACCCTAAAAGTGTCCATTTCTCGGGAGGCTCTGGAAAGCCCTGTCTTAACTGGTGACTTTATCAATTAATGCCTGACATTCATCCAGCAGAGTGGGGGAGGGGACTTCACATGCATGATCCCCTGCACCTTAGCTACTGGGATTCTGAATGTCACAGAGGGAAACCAAGGCTCAGGGCATTCACCCACGATCCTCCACTAGTGAGGGGAAATGCCAGGATTTATATCCTTCTCTTACTCCAGATCAGGCCACCGTTGTCACTGAATGTAATTGACTCCTGCATGGCTTCTGCATTTACAAAGCCCCTTAGCCCTCCCAACAGCCCCAGGAGGACGGGGTCATGTAACAGACTCAAGTTCACCCAGGAGGTGAGCGACCGAGCTAAAACTCGAACCCGGGACCTCGGGTGCATCCCTCACACCCACTCCTCGTGTCGACCTCGAGCTTCATTTCCTCGCCTGTGAGGATACAAACATCTGCACTGTGAAGTTCAACTGCAGCTCGATTCCACGGGGAACCAAGAGCCTCAATCGATTCTCCATTACCCCAAACCTATTTTCAGTAAAGGAGATCGCTCTGCCCATCTCACGAAAGACACTTCTCAACAGAGAGGTGAAAATCGGCCCACGCCACCAGCAAGAACCCCGTGTGGCAACTGTTGGTTTGCTTTGCGGAAAAGATGACTGCTGTCAGCCAGGGCCACCGGGACGATGAGTCTCATTGAAATAAAGACCTGAGTGACTCACTGCCCATCAGACTGTCTTAATAATGACCATATGCATTTCACAAGCGGGTGAGTCCCACAAGCCGCTATAAAAAAAAAAAAATCGATGATGTAAATGATGACAACATCAGCTTGTGTCTCTCCATAGGTGACAGGGGCCACTATTGATTAAGTATGATGCTTTCATTACAAAGATAATTGGAAACGACTCCACACAGAATGGGAATAAGTCATCGTCGCGGCAGATTCTTATCATATTATTTCTTTGGGGTTTGCTGCCTTTTAGAGGTCAACCGAGAATGGAATCACGCCTCTCTCAGAAGACGCCATGGCCCAGGCACAACCCTGGAGAAGGCTGAGAGGTCACAAAGAAGACTCTGAATTATCCACATTTCATGAGTCCAGCTGCTGCTGAGGCCCGAGCAGAGCCCAACATCCTGACACCCCAGTCTGTAAGGAACCCGTGGGGGTGGCAGCTGCAATGACGGTTTTTTTCTCTGAAAATGCTGAAAGTCGAGGTTTTCAGAAAAATCTTGATATGGCGATTGCCCCCGTTTCTGGTTCACAGAGGAATGAGCTCCTCTCTGCTTAGTCCTTGTAGAGATGAGAGGAGTTAAATTCTTTAAGCGTTAGAACGTTGCCCGGTGTAATCCACGCCTCGCCCCAATGATAGCCTCATTCTGTAATTAATGACACTGACTTGTTGAGTGACCACCTACTGGTTCCCACACTTGGGATGCAGAAAGTTGTGGTCCCATTTTACAGGTGAGGTCCTTGGGGGCTCAGGGAGGTTTAGTCACTCACTCAAGATTCACAGTTAGGAAGTGGTGGAGCCTGGGTATGGGCCGGGTCTGACCCAAAAAGGTTCTCTTTTCCACTGGGCTTCAGGGACTTCCCAGCTACAAAGGACCAGCCCACAAAGTATAAAATATTGCACCTGCTCTAAGGGCTCAGTCTATTGTCCAGATACATTGACCTTGAATTGCTCTTGACAGTTTCTTAGTGAATACCAATAGGATTGTTCAATAGTAATAACATTTTATTATGGGGATATTTAGGTTTATAGACTTCTGGCTTCTGCCACTGCAAAAAAAAAAAAAGTGTGTAATGACTTTTATTTCCCTCCACGCTCTGTGGGAGCTTCTGGGATCATGGGAACTGATTTCTATATTCATGAAATAGCTGACTAATTATCCAGTCCAGTGGTTCTCAGGCTGGAGCCTGCCTTAGGATCTCCTAGGGGGCTTGGTACTGCAGACTGCAGGGGCCCACTGCAGTCTCCAAATCACTAGGTCTGGGGTGGAGGCTGAGGGGTTGCATTTTGACCACCTTCTCAGGTGGTGCTGACGTTGCCGGTCCTCGGACCACACTTGGAGAACCGCTGGTCTGCAAGGATGAAGGTCATGGGACTGAATCACTATCCCTTGACTCAGGAGCATAGCAAAGGTGTGGAATCTCTTCATCAATAAACAACAGGACCCTGGCCATTTGCACGGGCATTTGAAAAGGGCCTGGAATTTGGACTGAGCAGGGTCTGCTCCCTATTAGTCCTTGGAAACCTGCTGATTTCCAAAAGGTAGAGGCTACTTGTGTGTAAAACAGGCATGAGCTGTTGTCACCCGAGAGACTGGCAGGGACCAAGACCAGAGCGTGAAGTTTCCGGGTAGACCACCCGGCTCAGGGACCGGAAAGATTATTCTATTGGAAATATTTGCAAAGACCCAGATGCTGCAACTCTCAGCAGGAGACCTCAGCCTGGGACCATAGTGGACCAACAGCTTGGACCATGCCCCTCAGCAGGCCCCAGGGCAGTAGGGAGATCCCTGTGTGTTTAGGACAAACTGAGGAGCAGCCAGCAGTGTGAGTGACAGGGAGCTCTCCAAGGAAAGCGTCACTTTCAGGGATGGTGGTGGGGCAGGCTACAAGGTCAGAGATGGCCCAGGGTGGGCTTCTGCCATGGAGGGCCCCTCCCCAGCAGCTCCCCTAGCACCCAGGGCTGGGATCTACAAAAACAGCTCAGAGGAGGCTGTTAATCCGTCGGTAGGTAACTAGCCGGGGAGATGGATGCAGTCAATTTCCCTTACATCTGGGCCCCCTCCAGCCTGTATTTCTAAAAGTGATCCCTTCCCCTGCCGCCACCTGGTCCCTGAGTTTGAAATCTGTGTGTCTCGCTTCCCAAACGATAGCCCATGGAACGGTGGTTCCAGAAGCCAGGAAATAGAATGTTCCAGAAGAGCAGAAGGCTGAGGCAGTTTCCACGTCAGAGTCTGGAAACCCATAAAGAGGATGTTTCCCGCCTTGAAAATGTGCGGTACGCCACGGGCTGGGGAGGTACGACGTGCTTCTCAAACACTGGCGCACCCTGGGTAAGCTTTTGGTTTGCATCTGTTTGGGAAAAGCTCCCTCAACTTGAAACCCACAGGCTCCTCCTCGAGCCCCTGCTCACTGCCTCACTGAGTAGGACAGCAGTCGGGCCACAGATGGTGGCAAAGCACAAGTCAGAAGGCTCCGAGTGACAAGAGCGCTTCTTTGCAGATTTTATAGCAGTTTTTTTTTTTTTCCCTGAGACTCAGAAGGTCATGTGAGGACCAGAATGCCAACTCTTCCAGACCGCTGAGGTCCCCGGACGTGTGACCTCTAACAAATGACATTTCCCAACGCTGTTTCTGCCCTCATTGTGACGTTGTTTCTTCATGGCCCTGGGAGAGGGGCAGGGCAGAAAATGACTTGCCCATTTTTAGTTTGGAAGAAAAGGGAGACCCAGAGAGATCATGCGGTCAGGGGTCACGGAGGTCAGACGGCGGAGGGGTCTCATCCGATGGGATGGGCGGGAGGCCATCAGAAAGACGCTTCACTTACTTGGCTGTGTCCCAGGGCCACTGCCGTCTTCTCCAGATCCAAGGTCAGCAGGAGCTGCTCCACAGCCTGGGGACAAGAGGAGAGAAGTCAGGGGAAGAGGGGGGAGGCAGAGGACCCTGCTGGGAGGTGAGGCTCCGGTGGCAGACACACCCCAGGGGAGGGGAGCCCACGGTCTATGGGGTTTGGTCATCAGAGCCCCCGGCCACATAGGCAAGAGCAGAAAAGCAACATGTACTGAGCACCTACTGTATACCAGCCACTCCGCTGAAACCTTCAATGACACCCAATTTGCTTCATCCTCATGACAACCTTGGGTGGGTTGCCCTACGACCATGCCAAGTTTACAGAAGAGAAAAACAAGGGCACCAGATGAAATGAAGGGTATGGACAACAGTACAGCAGCTCTCAAGAAATTCAACCTAGGATTTCCCTGTGGTCCAGCAATCCCACTTCCAGACATATACCCAAGAGAATGAAAAACAGGGTCCCAAAGAAGTCCCTGTACTCCAATGTTCATAGCAGCATTATTCACAAGAGCCAGAAGGTGAAAAACACCCAGGTGTCCGTGAGGGACAAATGGATAAACAAGCTGTGGTATATCCATGTAATGGAATATTATTCAGTCATGAAAAAAGAAAGAAATTCTGACACATGCTACCCCAGGGATGAGCTTTGAGGGCAGTATGCACAGTGAAAGAAGCCAGTCACAAAGGGACAAATACTGTATAGTTCCACTTATACAAGGCCCCCTACTTTAGGCATATTCATAGAGACAGGAAGTAGACTGGTGATTGCCAGGGGCTGGGGAAGGGAGAATGAATTAGCATTGAAAGGGTCAGAGTTTTGGTTTTTGCAGGAGGGAACTATGGACCCAGATGGTAGTGCTTTTGCATCATGTTATAAAACTACTTCATGTCAGCAGACACATGACAGATGTCACACTATGTTATAAATGCCACCCTATGGTGTTTTATTGTGTGCACACTTAAGACCCTAGATGAACCATTTTCTTAAGATGAACCATTTCTCTAGGGCCACAAGGTGACCCAGGGCAGAGCCAGGTTCCAGCAAGGTCTGTCTGGCTCATCGCAACATCTCTGCTCGGAATGGCTCCCCAGGCTTCAGATGGCTCCAGAGGAAGGAAACCCACCCCCCGTGTCACCCAGCCCCCCCAACAGCCTCCCCAGCTCTCCGTGCGTCCTGCACTGAGCACGTCAGCTACTGGCTCACTCACCGTGACCTTGCCGGCCCGACCTAGATCATGGCAAGGAGAATCTGTGCCTAATTCACCTCGCATTCTCTCCTCTGCACTCTAGTGCTGTTCTGTGTAAACAGTAGGCGCTCAATTCATAGGATGAACAAGTAAGAGAAATCAGGACGAACGGGAGAGAGGCAGCGCCATGCGGAAGAATTCACTCAAAGACGTTTCTGGAGGCAGCACAGAACCGGCCACCAGCGATTTCATGGAACTGCCCTCCTTTCAGACGGTCCTGCAGGTTTGAAGCCAGCCCACGGGAGATCTGCTCCCTTGCACAGATGCAGGTCGTGCCCGCCTCCTTGGTGGCTGGATTCCCCCCACTGCACCCTCGCGCCACCCTGCAATGGTCTGCCGTTCACAGAAAATCACAGTCTATTTTCAGAATAAACGGTCCAAAAAAAAAAAAAAGTGATTGTAACACTCAGGAGGGGAAAGGGTGGGCAAGGCTGGGGCTGTGGAGTAGATGAGCTTCGACTCCGTGGGTGAGCGGCGGCTCGAAAGCTCCCTAAGGTAGACAGACCCCAAGTTGCTTATTGAGATTCCCAGATCACAATGAGGGCGCAGCCTCGTCTCCACCCTGAAAGAACACTGCATAATGCTCCTCCAAAACTCAGTGGTTTCACTTATCACATTTGAGCCAAAAAAAAAAGGATTTCCAGGGAGCCACAGAGAGCAGAAATGCATGACGGCCTTTCTCTCTGCACAAGGAAAAAGTACGATGAAATAGACTGAGAATAAAATGGGTGGATAAGCGAGGGAGATCCGTGAGGGTGAGGTGTCCCTAGCCTGTCTTGGCAGGGAAGTCCAGAGTCAATGTGAGAGGAAGAGATCAGCAGGTGGACCTACCCCGACTCAGGGCTTGGTTTGATGGTTCATAAACTGACCTCAGACACACAGTTTCCTGGGGGGCTCAAACTTCTTTCAGGAAAGTGGGGAAAATAATGGCCACTGTCTGAGAAGATTCTGAGGCTGTGCTGTGGGAAGAGTCACATCGTGTCTGACGTATAGTAAGCTCTCAATGAAAGCTAGGAGTCACTCCAACCCAGAGCCTCATGCTTGGGCCAAATCCTGGTAGGGTTTCTGCAGAACATGGAAGTCTTTCATCTGTTGGATCAATCTAAACACCGCCAAAGAACACGTTCAGCCACCACGATGACCAGGACATCTTGTCCACCTCCTTGTTTTCTTAGATTCCTTTAGATGTGTTGGGCACCCCTATAATCCCAGTGGCAATGGAGGCTGAGGCAGGAGGATCACAAGTTCAAAGCAGCCTCACAATTTAGTGAGGCCTCATGCAGCTCAGTGAGATCCTGTCTCTAAATAAAATATAATAAAATATTAAAAAGGGCTGGGGCAGGGCTGCGGTTGTGGCTCAGCATGCGTGAGGCACTGGGTTCCATCCTTAGCACCACATTTTTAAAAAAATAAGCAAAGTAAAGGTACTGTGTCCATCTACAACTAAAAATATTTTTAAAGGGGTGGGGTAGGGATGTGGCTCAATGGTTAAGTACCCCTGGGTTCAATCCTGGTGCCAAAAGATATCAACAAAAATAAAAAAACTCCTTTGGATGTCTGTGTAGCTGAGAACAAGAATATGCAGCCCTTTTGACTGTGTTTTAAAGATAAGAAGGCACAGGCATAATGAAGGTGGGGAGCAGGTGAATGCAGCCGATCATGGTGCAGTTACCCGATTCCTCACCTGCACGGTGATCACGCACCTCTACCTGGGCCACAGGCACTGGGAGGATCAACTGAGAACATATAAGAAGGACTCTGTAAATGACTTTGCAGTTAACTGCTCTTGATAGCCTCGTTAATACGACAATTAGATAAACCCAATGAAGTTGCTCTGTTTAGGCCAAATATCCATTGTTTATTCAGCCCGACACAAGGGCCCCGGTGACAGAGAGAGGTGGCTTTCTGCCTGCCTCTTGATGGAACCAGCACTTTCTTCCTATTTCTGTTTTGTTTTTTTAACTATTTTATTTTATTTTATTGGTCCTGGGGATTGAACTCAGGGCCCTTGACCCCTGAGCCCATTCCCCAGCCCTGTTTTGTATTTTATTTAGAGACAGGGTCTCACTGAGCTGCTTACAGCTCACTAAGATGTTGAGGCTGGCTTTGAACTCGTGATCCTCCTGCCTCAGCCTCCCCAGCCCCTGGGATGACAGGCGTGCGACACTGTGCTCGGCCAGAAACAGCACTTTCATGGATCAGAATTGCCCACAGAACTGAGGAGTCTCCTCTTGGTGTGTGGTGCTACTTTCATGAGAAAAACACTGGCTGTTTTGCTCCAAGAAAGCACAGTTTTCAGTCTGTTTTTAAGTCTGAGGGCGGCTTCAAAAGCTTGCATTTAATAATTCAGTCTGTCTCCAGACCTCTGCAACAGACAGCCTTTCATCCCCATTTCACAGGGAGAGAAACTGATGCCTAGTGCCATGGAATGAATTGGCAAAGGTCAAGACACAGGAAGTGATGGCAAGGGACCCAAACCAAGGACCCCCCACACACACACTGCTGTCCTTGTCTGGTCCCACCATTCACCAGCTGGGTGACCCTGCCAGTCACTCCCCTGCTCTGGTCCTAAGTGCCCTTCCTGGAACACGGGGTAATGCCTCTGTCCTACGAGAGCCCAGTGGGGACTTAATGAGGTCTTGAGAGCAGTGGGTGGGAGGGAGACTTCCAGCAACTTGTCTGCCCTCCTCCCCCAAATGACAGAGTGGATCAAATCCCCCCAAAGGTCAAGTTCAATACTCTGGAAATGGAGCAAAGAGATCTCAGAATGAGAAGCATTTATTCAAGAAATGCCTCTGGACTCCAGGCGGGCACAGGGTGCGTGGGTGGTCATCGTGGTGGGCGCCAGCCCACTCCTACTGCCCCTCCGCCCCCCAGCTCTGTCTCTGAAGTGGCCCCGACACAGGACACCAACTGGAAAGCAGCAGCCTTCGTGCCAGAAGGGGCCCTGGAGGGTTCAGAGCCCAGAAAACCCCACTCGGGGCCAAGTTAGAAACTGTCATTATCCCAGCAGAAAATAAGTGGGTCGGCCCGAGTCATGACTCAGCCTGGGGTGGCCGCAGAGCACGGGCCAGCCAGGAGTCAGCCGGGAGACCCAGGGAAGGGGCGGCCGCAGCGGGCTGGACACACCCGTGCATTTGTGGCTCAAGGATAAAGAAGAACAAGAGAAACCAGGGGAAGGGCACCAGCTACCTGGGTCTCCCCTCTTTGGGCAGGAGGACAGGAGCACGGGCAGAGCCAAGGGCGCAGCAGGACGTGGAAAGCTAGAACACAGTTGTCAACTGCCAGGACATTCCCCAGCCCACACAGAGAGCCATCGAAGAATGACAGACTGCACAGACGCAACATGTCTCATAGGGAAAACTATTGGCTATTGAGATATGCTGACACGGGGAGACTGCCGGGAAGCCCCGCTTTAAATTAACAAATACACACACACACACACACACACACAAACTGGCAAGAGATGTCAGTGGTCCCACACCAAGGGAAGGCAGACTCCTTAAGTCTATACAAGAAAAATTACTCAATATTTAAGAATACGTGAATCTACAATTACTATAGTGTGTCATCTAAGAGGTCCATTTTCGCCTGACACAGTGGCACATGACTGTCATCCCAGCAGCTCGAGAGGCTAAGGCAGGAGGATCCTGAGTGCAAAGCCAGCCTCAGCAAAAGCAAGGCGCTAAGCAACTCAGTGAGACCCTGTCTCTCAATAAAACACAAAATAGGGCTGGGGATAGGCTCAGTGGTCCAGTGCTCCTGGGTTCAATCCCCAGTACCTCCAACCCAT